CTGTGACTCCTGAAATACCACCCTTCTTGGGAGATGTGGCCCTTGTGGACATAGATATTGTCGCAATGGAAAATCTTGAGCCAGGTGACCATGGCTGAAAGCGTACTTTCTACCATTCATCTGCCCTGACTCTGCTTTAGAGGCCATGAGCCACCCCATGAATTTGCCTCAGTCACTTAAGAATCTAGGAAATGTGGCACTTGCTTTGTTTTCAATCCATGTTTTATATTTTATCATATACATATATACAATTTTTAATCTCATTTCTCTAGGTTATTCTTTTGGCAAATAGAGAACTCATATTCCTCAAAAGGACCTTCTTTTCTTGGGTTGAGATGTTAGTGACAATTCCATGTAGGTAAGAGAATTTTATGGGAAAAACTGCCAAGAGAGTAACGGCGCTGGCTGCCCAGACCGTTTTCTATGTTCTAGCCTCACCTTAGACAAATAGAAATGATAATAATAATGATCACCATTTACTGAGCACTTACTTTTGGAAAGCAATGTGCCAGGTGCTTTATATGCATATTAATTTAAATCCTTATAACAGTGTGACAAATGAAGTATTATAGTCTCCAGTAATGAATGAAAAACTCTGGTTGGAAAAGTGAAGAAACGTCTCCCAGAACGTACATTTAAGCTTAGCATTTGAACGTGAGTCTGGCTCTAGAGCTCTATCTTCTGAACTGCCTCTCAGGGCCTCAGGTTCTGCGTCTTCAGGATGTGGGTCTTGGGTGGAACGGAGTCTATTTAGCAGGGTATTCCACGTCTGGGTTGACTTTCTCTGCCCACACCTCTCCTGAAGCTTAGTCCTGGCATTTTCAACAGCCCTCTGGTGTCATGGCCTGGCTCTCACAGACCTCCTGCACTCATGTCTGAAATGGAATTCATCGATTCCTCACCCAACCTGCTTCTTCTCTGTGATCCACGTAGTGTTCTCTGGGAGCACCGTCCACTCTGCCCTGTAGTTCAAGCTCAAGGCTCTGCCAGCTAGCTCTCTCCCTTCTCACCTGCCATGATCATCAGCCGACCTGGCAGAGCAGAGACACGTGAAGGAGACATTACTGTCCCACTACCTGGGTTTGAATTTGGCTCCCCTATTTACCAGCTGTGCAGCATTGGACAAGGTGTTATATTCCTCTGTGCCTTGATTTTCTCATCTGTAAAATGGGGTCCGAAATACTACTTGTTTCATAAGGTTCAGTCTCCAGGTATTGTTTGACTGAATTGTTAAAATAACCTTCAGACTCGCTTCACCAGAGTTATCATTATAAAATAATAGCCATGATACCCTCCTGCTTAAAAAATCTTTACTTCCCTGTTGCCTCCAGGCCTAACTATGGAGTCAGGCAAAGGCCTTCATAATCTCCTGCCACTGGCCTCTCCAGGATCATTTTCCACCATGTCCCCCTAAGCAATTTGCACCCTGGCAGCAAAAAATTATACACGTGGTACACTTTTGTGCCTCCACACTTTTGACCGTGCTGTGCCCTCTACCAGAAATGCCCTTCCTTTCCGTTTCTGCCTAGTGATGGGCACTTACCTTGTATGGCTCAGTTCAAAAGTCACCTATTTTTTAGGGCTGCGTAAATTGAGTCAGTCACTTGCAGAGTGTATTCCTCTGTTTTAGAACCTAACACGTTGAATGGTAATTATATGCACTGTCATTATAGGCACTGTAACCAGTAGGCTGGGGACTCCTGTGAGCAGAGACTGTGTGTTTTCCAACTTGATATGTTTTGTTCTAGAGCCTCATATATAGTGGGAGCCCCCAAATTTTGATTAATATATAAAATGTTATTCCTCACTCTAAAAAAATGACTTAAAGTAAATAAATGTGTATCAAATGCCTGTAATGTGTTAACTAGTTGAATTAAATCTTGTTAGCTTGAGATGAGAAAGACAGTGAACTTGTAACAAAATTAAATTAAAAACTCAAGAGCATTTAGGAGTTCGGGATTAACAGATTCACACTATGATATATAAAATAGATAAACCACAAGGACCTACTGTATAGCACAGGGAACTATATTCAATATCTTATAATAACCTATAAGCGGAAAGAATCTGAAAAAGTTTATATATATATATACATATACATATATATATAAATAAAACTGAATCACTGTGCTGTAAATCTGAAACTAATACAATATTGTAAATCAACTATACTTCAATTAAAAAAAACCCTCAAACACAACTGTATTGTTCTTACTGTCTCCAAGATGAAGCCATCATGTTTTTTCCTAGTACACATGTTAAATGTTACATTTTTTTGACACCTTAGGAAAATCTGATAATGGAAATTCTTTAGAATATCAGTGAAGTCTCTATATTTTATATATTTCATTAGAAAAAGAGCCAGTGTTTTCCTTATGTGCCTTTACTCTAAGCATAATACTTCATGGGAGGCAGTATATGAGTGGTTACGACCATAGGCTTGGAAGCTAGAATGCCTGAGTTTAAGTCCTGACACTGCCACCTACAAGCTGTGTAATTGTTGGGAAGTTTTCTCAAAGCCTGTTCTCTTACCTGTAAAATGGGCATCCTAGTAACATCTACCACAGAGGGTGTTTTGAGCATCCAATGAGTTAGTGCATCTAAACACTTAGATGAGTGCCTGACTTACAGTAAGTGCTCAATAAATATGCCCTGTTATCCAGTTGGTGTTTACAGGAGAGTCGCCTGGAATCCTAGTAGAAAGGTGAGGTCTATTTCATCGTCAGGGCACAGTGCAGAGAGGCGGGAGAACCTGGAGAGATGATGAATTGGCCCATTCACTTGTGCAAGGACTAGGTATCCATTCAGACATCATTTCAACACATAAGCAATTTAGTGTTTCATTTTGTCATTGACACATGGAGCTAAATCTAGGAACAAACCCAGATTTTAAGTTAGCAGTTAGGACAGTTGGCTCTAGAATCATTCTGCCTGGGTTCAAATCCTAGCTCTATGACATACTGGTTGTGTGAACTTGGGAAAATGTTTTTATTTCTATAAGTTTAAGCTTTCTCATCTGGAAAATGAGGAAAAAAAGACTAATTTTAACCTTCTACCTGTTGTGAGAATTAAATGAAAACAAAACAACTTGACGTGCTTATCGCAGTGCCTGTTGCATAGTGAGTGCTTCATTTCTGTTAACCACCGTTTTCTTCTTGAAAGTATCATTGTAATGTTTTTACTATACGATGTGCTTTTTTCTTTTTTTTTTTTTTTTGGGGTACCCGGGCCTCTCCCTTTTTTGGCCTCTCCCGTTGCGAAGCACAGGCTCCGGACGCGCAGGCTCAGCGGCCATGGCTCACGGGCCCAGCCGCTCCGCGGCATGTGGGATCTTCCCGGACCGGGGCACGAACCCGTGTCCCCTGCATCGGCAGGCGGACTCTCAACCACTGCGCCACCAGGGAAGCCCCTACGATGTGCTTTTTAAATTTACTTTATTGTGAAATATATCATACCCGTGTCTTGCTTTTTTCATTCAATGGTTGCAACTGGACTGATGTGGGTAGTTCTTAGTCCATCAGTTTCACTGCTGTATAGCATTTTATTATACCAACAGCCCACAATTAATTGTGTTATTTTATTCTATTGATGGGCATCTGGACTGTTATTGATTGGTTTCTATTACAAACACTGCTGCATAGAACGTTCTTATGTGTGCCCTGGTGCACGTGTGAAAGACTGAAAGACGTTCTTTAGGAAGTTAAACCTAGAGTTGAGATTGTGGGACCAGTGAATATTCAGACTTACTAGGTAGTGGTAAGCTGTCTTCTCAGTAGCAGCTCATGAAGGATTTTTTGACAGGAGATCATTACAAACGTATTTTGGGTCCTCATAAAGATTACTGTATGTTGTAGTCAGTCTCTAAGATTTTATGGTTTCAAAATAAAATCCAAATGAGCCTCTTCTTTTGGTATTCACACCCTCGTGTGGTGCTCTCCCACACTGTACCAAGGTTGGTCTTTGCGACCAATAGAATATGGTAAAAGTGATGGTACATGTTACAAAAAACTGTAGCTTCTGTTTGTGGCATCCTTTCTCTTTCTGTCTCTTTTGAATCTTTCACTCTGGGGAAAACAGCTGCCGTATTGTGCAGCTCTATGGAGAAGCCCATAAGGTAAGGAACAGAGACCTCCAGCCAACAGCCAGTTAGGAACTATAGTCTACCAACAACCATATGAGTAAGCTTAGAAGTGGATTTTCCAGCCGCTCAGGGCTTGCGCTGACTGAAGGTTGATAGCTTGACTAGAATCTCATAGGAGACCCTGAATCAGAATTGCCCAGCTAGGCTGCACCTGGGTATTTGATGCACAGAAATTGTGTGAGATTGTAAATATTTGTTGTCTTAGGCTAAGTTCTGGGGTACTTTATTATTCAGAAAACATAACTATACATATTGCATTAAAAGGCAAAAACTTCCAAGTTCCATTAAAGAATTTTTGAAATAAAGCAGGATATTAAAACAAATTTGAAAACAGATAATGAAAAGGTTGATGCACTAACAAATGTAGATGTTTTTAAGTTGGTTGGTCATGTAAAAAAGCACCGTGAGGGTGGGAAAGCAAGGATAATTTATGATTTATAACCTGCAGAAACATGTTTACATGTCTTCAAATTTTTAATTTGATCTGTATTATTAATTATTAGAGTCTTTTAGATGTGTGTATAATGCAAAATATTCATTATAACATAATGGCAAAATAATAGGCATCATCTAAACATACATAAATAAGAGAATTGTTAAGTAAGTAGTATATCCATTCAATAGAGTATTAGAAAGCCGTGAAAAGAAATATATATAAAGTAATAACATACTCCCAACGTAAGTTAAGTGAAAAGGGCAGAATATACCCTACAATCAGTATAAAACCAACTCTACAGGGATTTAAAGGTGAAAGTGGGCATCTCTCAGTTGGATTGTGGGGTTTTGTTTTCTTCAATAAACTTTTTCTGGGCTCTGTAAGTTCTTTCTAACAAACTTGTGTTATTACTTTTATTATTAGGAAAACGCATTTACCACCTGAGGCAATTATTCTTGGTTTACTTTTAGCATTACAAAGGAACGAGGACCACAGACTTCTACCTTCAAATTGGAAATAGCAATCTTATCAAACAGATACCGACAGCAGAGCATCTGTAAAGTTTCTGGATGCTGCTTCACGTTGGCTGGCTTCCTTCTAAATCATCTTGGTCTTTGGACATAATCAAGGTCTTTTATCTTGTTATAATTGATGATCTTGTTGATTTCACTTGTATAAACAAATATAATCTATGTGTTGTTTTGTTGACATCAGAGCTTCTGAAAGAGAATCTGAGGATAAATTCATGGAATAGTCTAAACTTTCATGTGACTACAGTTTGTATTCAGCATCTGTTCATGAAATTGAGAGGAGGAAGAATGAGGTAGTTGAGATTTCATGGAGAGGCAATGTGGTGGTGAGGGCTGCCTAAGACCTTTCAAAATGGGAAGTGTGTTTGTCTAAGGCAGCCAATGGTGGCATAATTGAAGGAAGGGCTTTGTTAGGTTGAATGGGGTCTAGAGTCACTGTCTGAAAAATGGTGCTTCATAACAGAATAAATATGAGTTTTTTGTTTTTTTTTTTTGCGTTACGCGGGCCTCTCACCTTTGTGGCCTCTCCCATTGCGGAGCACAGGCTCCGGACGCGCAGGCTCAGCGGCCATGGCCCACAGGCCCAGCCGCTCAGCGGCATGTGGGATCTTCCCAGACCGGGGCACGAACCCGTGTCCCCTGCATCGGCAGGCGGACTCTCAACAACTGCGCCACCAGGGAAGCCTTGAAAATTTATTTTTGATAATAGTAAAAAAAAATCTTAAAACTTAAGTATTTAAATAGACTAAAAATATATTTTGTTCTTAAAATTCCCTTTATAAAAATATTTTTGCCCATTAAATTAAACTTGGAAAGACTTTGAAATATGGTACTAAATTTGAAAGCGTTAACTAAAGTCCCACCACTTAAGGAGAACTGCTTCAACATTTTAGTGTATTTATTCTGATATTTATATTCTCTACGCATTTCCATTGCATACTGTGCTTCTACCGTCATGCTTTATTGTTACTGTATCTTCCCTTCTAGACCATCAGTTCTGTGAGGACAGTGGCTATGTCATTCTAACTTACCATCCTTTCCTCAGTCCTTAGAGCAGAGTAGGTACTTAATAAACACTTGTGGAATGGCTAAACTGTTTGGACTACACAAGGAAAAGAGAACAGCCAGGAACAAGTGACTAAGTTAAAGCAAAGCTCTATGCCAATTGAGACTATTGGCAATTTGGAATGCTGTTCTCAGTACCAGGTGCCACTGAGGACAGACACCAGGTGCCACCTGAGTGTGCCAGGGCCTGTGCCAGGTGAAAGTTCAGGGAAGCTTTCTGTGAGGGTGTTCAGTCATTGCCAAGGAAAGAGTAATTTTCTGAATTCCAATGGGGCAACCAAGAAGATGGGGCTTGTAACTGAAACTTCAGAATTAGAAGTAAATCATCATGGCTTCTAGGTTTATTTGAACCATCTAATACCAAACCACATTTGCTTCTCAAAACAAAGAACTGTTTTGTTTTATCATGTACAAAATACTGATCACAAATATTTCAGGCTATAAGAAAAAATATTACCAGTTATGGCAAGCACTGGAAATTTATAATTTGGTTACTTCATACAGATCTGATCATTCTAACATCATGTTTCCAAGCATTATTTTATTAACCACTCCATTTATAGGGAATCGTGTAGCCAGAATTTATTGTTTGTTTAGATTTTTCCAATGCCCTCATCACTGAGGTCCCTGGTTGCATGTGTAGAAGATTAAGAGATACAATAATCTAAAAAGAATAGACCAAGCAACACATACTAGATCTGGGTCAAACTAAATAAATATGTCTACTTCTAAGTCCCGGAGTTCAACAAGAACAAAAACAAACTCCTACATATAAAATAAGGAAATTTTTCATAAGAAAGAGATTCAGCCTTAATTTGATCTGTTTGCCCAAGTTCAGCAGTTGTTTAATCTAGAAGCCAGTATCCATAATTACTTTATATTTTCCGATTATACTTTTGAAAATAATATGGGCCTCAAGGAAGCACAACCAAGAAATTAAAATTCCCCCAGGTGTGAATTAAGGCCAAGGCATGTGTTTTCAACTCAGAACAAATGGTCTTAAAATCCTGTTTGCATCTGCTATTAATAAAATCGACAAGAACAAAATACAGCTAAATGCAACTCTTCCTAGTGTCAGGTTAAAAGCCAAATTCCCTGGGTTTAATTTCTCTTTGTGTGAGGGTGGACAAATTGCTCAATCTCTTTGCAACTTGGTTTTCTCTCCTGTAAAGTGGGGGCAATAATAGTATCCATCTCCTTGGGTTACTGTGAGACTCCCATGAGTTAATGCATGTGCTGGGCACGGGATAAGAACTATATAAAAACGAGCTGTAATTATTATTAAACAGTGAAACAAAGCACCTGCCTACTGTTATGTATGGTGTCATCTTCTTTTGTCTTGACAAGAGAACACCCTAGTCCATCTCTGCAGCTTTAGTCTTTCACATTCATTCTTAGCTTAGATTGTTCCCTTCCTCCTTCCCTCCAAGAATGTTTCCCTTGCTCTTCTCTTGGCCAGATCTGACCCATTTTGACTTACCCTATAAAGTATCAATAATAGGCTAGGGCCAGAAAATGGCTCAAGGCTCATGTCTCTGGAAATTAGTGTTTTTGTATTTCCTGACATTCTCGAATTAGCAAGGGTACCTCAGAAGACCTGATGCACTTTAGAAATCTATAAGGTAGTAAGAGCAATCTCTGCAAATGCTTCTCTTCTTAAAATAAACCTCTTCAAAAATTTTTGTCCCAGAGCACAGGTGGTGGAGTGTCCCATTTGGCTATTATTTTCCAAAAAGGGGAATAAACGGAAAATTCTCTGCGTGAGGATCGTCACTGCCATGACTGTGCATCAAGAAACTGAATACAGTCGTTCATTCCTGGCAGATCTGAAGGCAGAAGCCAGTTTCCCGTTCTGTGTCCTCTCCACTCGCCATATTGTCATGGCAAGGGCCAGCAGTGGACAGAGGTCTCCAGGCAGCCGACATCTCGGCCTTCCACCTGTGACTGCAGGTTCTATCACGTGGACCAGTCACTTCGATTCCCAAGCCTCAGCTGTCTTGGCACCATTATGCCAGCTGAAACACCATGGCTGCATCAAAGCAGGGACGTGGTCCAGGTGGCCTTGTGATGTCCCACCCAACTCAAGTCTATGACTCCCTTTACTTGTTTTACTGTGAGAACATTGTAACTTCTCCTCCCAAGCGTAACGCCTTTAAAATCTAGCCCTCAAATAAAGAAATTTTCTGCCACAGACTTTCTTCTGGATTTCTTTGCCTTCAGCTGTGGCACTGAAAAGCTTCTTGAAAAGAAACTTTTCTCTCCTCCCATACAAGGCTATAGTAATCTTCCTAAATGCCATTTGGATCACGTTACTTCCCTGTGTAAAATCCTTCAGTTGCTCTTCTTTGTGTGTGGGGTGATAGAGCAGTATGTGCATGGCATTCTTACCCTTCATGTGGGCCCCTGGGGTCCACTGCCCCACGGGTACCCTGGGCTCTGGCCCTAACAAGCTGGACAATTCCCCTCCTTTGCCATCTCCTCTCTCCTCCATGCCCTGCTTTTGGATGGATTCTTTCCTCTGAAGTTAACGTGCTTCTTCGCTTTCTCTGCTTGGCTAAATCCTTCTCCTCCTATACATTAAACTCAGGCACTTTGTCCTCTGGGAAGTCTTCCTGAACCTCAGAGGGGGATGAGATGGCCCTCGTCGGTGCCATCTGACCCTCCTTGCTTCCCCTTGCAGGGAAGGCCATTCTGCGTTGTACCTGCTTTTTGGTGTCCCTATTGCCCACTGGTCTGGAAGCTTCTGAAGACAGGGACTGGATCTTGCATTTTGGCAACTCCTGCACCCAGCCCAGAGTCTGGTTACGGTAACAGGGTCAGTAAACGTTTGAAGCCTCAATTTGACAAGATCTTCCTCGTGATAACTAGGGACACTATAAACCTGGAGGAGATTATAATTAGGTATGTATAGCTGGTGGAAAACTGTTCCCAAAGAATTTAGAGAGAACAGACCTAAATCAGACAATAAATATGTGATGATTTATAAGAATTAGAAAGGGTGGGAGGTAAGATGCAGAGATTACTGAACGTGGGAAGGATTCCTTCAATAGGTAACACACCCAAATGATTCAGCTTTGAAATTGATGAGGTGTAAAATTCTGCTTTTTGGTCTAACAGTTCATTAAACTAATACAAATTGTGGGAGGAGAACTTGTCTGGAAGTGACCCCAAATGAACCAAGACTGTGATAGGAACTGCCTACAATTTTATTATTTTTTTTTAAAAATAAATTTAGTTATTTAATTTATTTTATTTTTGGCTGTGTTGGGTCCTCGTTGCTGCGCATGGGCTTTCTCTAGTTGCAGCGAGTGGGGGCTACTCTTTATTGCAGTGCGCAGGCTTCTCATTGCGGTGGCTTCTCTTGTTGTGGAGCACGGGCTCTAGGTGCGCGGGCTTCGGTAGTTGTGGCACGCAGGCTCAGTAGTTGTGGCGCACGGGCTTAGTTGCTCTGTGGCATGTGAGATCTTCCCGGACCAGGGCTCGAACCCATGGTCCCTGCATTGGCAGGCTGATTCTTAACCACTGCACCACCAGGGAAGCCCCTATTTTTATTATTATTATTATTGGCCACTGTGTATTGAGCACCTACTATCTATGGGGCATTTTCATCAGATGCTTTAAATTCATAACCTCATTTATTAAACCCCACAGCATCTCTATGATGTAGGTAACATTAGCCCATTTTGTGAACAAGGAGACTGAGATCAAAAGGGAGATTGAGGTCACACAGCTTGGAAGAGACAGCACCGATGGGGTGACCCCCAAAGGCCACGGATTAAAGGAGGGGCAGCCTCACTTAATCTGCACTATCACATGACAGGGGAAAGGTTGGTTCCATTCTGA